GCCCCAACCCCAGCCCCAGCTCCAACTCCAACCACATTCCCAATCCCAGCCGCAGCCTCAACCCAAGCCTCAACCCCAACCCAAGCCGCAGCCCCAACAGCTCCATCCGTATCCGCATCCACACTCGCATCCGCACCAGCACCCGCATCAGCTACCGCACCCGCACCAACAACCGCTCTCGCAGCCGCACGGCCACCGGCTTCTCCGCAGCACCTCCAACTCAGCCTGAAGGGGGCAGCACCCGGGCAAGACGAGGTAAGGCCCCGGCAACTCCGGCTCCCGAGGACCGTGCGAGGATTGGGTCTCGGGCTGTTAGAAGGAGTTGGAAGTGTGTTCACGGGTTTGGCTCTTGGGTGGAAAAATGAGAAGTTCTTTCAAGTTTCTGGGTAGGTGGAAAGAAGCGAAGCAGGCTAGAGCCAGGAGAAGCCGGGCAGAGAGGGGTGCGCGGGGGACTCGCGTTCAGCGGGGTGCGCCCAGCCGCACCGCTGCCTCTTGCTGTGTCTGGCACTGGAGGGAGCGACCCCGGGGTCCTAGCGAGCACGCTCTGTCCGTCTGACCGGCCCGGAGAGAACTGGGTCTTGGAGGAACCTGAGCCACCTACTTCATTCGGTGTCCTTTCTTTCCAGGTTTTGAGGACTCGAGGAAGTGGGATGAGAGCACCTTTCTGTTGTCTTCGTTTGGATGGAAAACAAGTGTCCCTGCTCTGCACCAGACCAAGTAGTTTGGACATCAGCCGACCGATAACTTGCAATTCCTCTTAGTTTTCTGCATACTTTTCCTCATCGCAATGCAGGAAACGATCTCAAGGCTAGAAGGCTTTATTTATGAACCTTTGAAAGGATCTCCCAGTATGGTGGACCTTCTAGGAGCGAAGATGTACTGTAATTTTATTTTAATGTATTTTGATTTATGATTATTTATTAGTTTTTTTAAAAAAAATATTTGTTCTAAGACATTTCTGAATGTAGGCCGTTTTCCAGAAAAGGAACTTTATTTTCAAAAACCTATTTCCTAGTACGTCCTAATCTTGGAAAGGAAAAAAGGGAGGTGTAGGGGAAAACATTAAGACTTCATTCATTCATTATTCCTAGGTCAATTTCAGAACCCGGACACACTCATTGTTATGCCAGGTGGTTGAAATTAAACTCTGTGATATAACTTTTTTTTTGAGATTATTTTTTTCCCTTCAGATTCTGTGTTGTGTAGAAGTTCAAAGAAGCTAAACGTTCAGAATTGTGTAATTGTGAAAATCTGTTTTTCTAAAAGGAAATGAGTAGTAATGACACCTAATTCGAAATATTTAAAACATAACCCACCGATGGCAGGATGATCTTGAATGTGTGGTAGGGCTATGTCTACTGTAGAAAAAACCTTGCTTATGCCATCTGTGAAGGGTTTAATAAGGAGATATTTATGGTTTATGAGTATAAATGCATTAGGTGTTTCTTTTCAAAAAACA